GAAGGGCACCCTTTTTCCTAAACGACCCCAAACCCTTAAACCCTAAACCCTAAACCCCTAAACCCCTAAACCCCTAAACCCCTAAATTACTAAACCCTAAACCCTAAACCCCAAACAAAAAAAAAGATCCAACCTATAGCCCACAAGTTGGAAACCCGGGAGCCTCAATCCGTGAAAGCAATGTATAGGGAAAGCCAGCACGAATTGTCCTTAGTCCGATTACTAGTTGTTTTTTGGGGGCTTTACTCTAAACCCCGACCAGTGCTGGCTGGTGCAGGGTTGAGGTTAAGGGAGCATTGAGGTACGAAAGCCCTAAGTTTTAAGGTTCAGGTCTTAATGTAGGGGCCTAATTACCTATACCATTTTCGGGGATCCGTATTATGACTATAGTAAAATGGGCCCCAAAACCCTATTCTAATTATCAAGGCCCTAGCCCTTATAGAACCCCTTACTGAACCTTTACAAGGAACCCCAACAAACAGGTTCAGGTCTTCGGTTTCTGAGCCCTTGCGACGCAAACCCGAACCCGGCCCCACCCCCCAAACCCCAAACCTGGAGCCATTAGGCCCTAAACAACGAACCCTATAAATGCTAAGCTCTAAGCCCTAAACCCTAAACCCTTTAAATGCTAAACCCTTAGCCCTTAGCCCTAAACCCTATAAATGCTAAACCCTAAGCCCTAAGCCCGAAGCCGTAAACCCTAAACTAAACCCTAAACCCTAAATTCTAAACCCTAAACCCTAAGTCCTAAACCCTATCAATGCTAAACCCTAAGCCCTAAATGCTAAACCCTAAACCCTAAGTCCTAAACCCTAAATTACCCTAAGGGTCCATGTACCCAAATAGATATACTTTGGCCTTAAAGTAGTCCCTATGTAAGTACTTAGGGGCCAATGTATATACTATTTGGGCACATGGACCCTTAGGGTTATAAACCCTGACCAAAAGATCGGCTCGACGCAGGGCTGCGGAAGCCTTTGCCGGGAAGCAGGGCCCCGTGCTTATGGGCCACTCGGAGAGTATTCCAGAGCCCCAGAGGGTCCTAAGTGCCTAAAACTGTTAATTATTATAGGGTTTAGGGTGTAGGGTTTAGGGTTGTTCTTGACCTAAAACTGTTACTTATTTTAGGGTTTAGGGTTCAGGGTTATTCTAGAATGTAGGGTTTCTATGATAGGAGTTACTACTATGATGGTTTGGGCAAGTATCCCCCAGATAGGTACTTAGGCCCTTTGCTTTGGGAGTGTCGGGCTTCTCGAGGCCCCGGGTTTGGTCCAATGCCTAAACCGAAATCGTTAAATCTGAATCCCAGACCGTTTTATAGAACTCTTAAACCCCAAACCCGTATGCCATAAACTTTGGGGCTTAGGGCTTCGGGTGGGGTTCAGTAGGATTTAGGATTACAGTAATGGTGTCAGCTGCTGCTAGTGAACATTAAACCCTAAACCCCAAACCTTAAACCCCTAAACCCTAAACCCCTAAACCCTAAAATTAAACCCTAAACCATAAACCCTAAACCATAAACCCCAAACCCTTAACCCTAAACCCTAAACCCTAAACCCCTAAACCCTAAACCCCTAAACGTGACTCATTCGTCTGAATCACAGGGCGGACTGTTATCAGGCCTAAAGCCCCCAGTGCCAGGCCTGAAGCAGCAGTCAACAAAACGGGGTTTGCGATTTAGGCGTATATAGGTGTTTCGGATCTAATTTTGGCGGCTGTAATAGTTCGAAGAGGGTTTGGGGGTACCTTATACCATGATCTTAACAAGGAACCCCCAAAACCCTATTCTAGTTATTAAGGCTCCTACGTTAGCGTTTTGGGGTCGGGGTTCAGGGTTTAAGGGTTTGGTGGCTTGAGGATTTGAGGACTCTTGGAGACTTCGGCGTTCGGGTTCGACCCCGGGGCGTGCTGATCTTGCTTAAAGAGTAATATAGGGGCCTTAAATAGTTTCCAATACTCTCTTGGGGGTTCCTTGTTATAACTATAGCACGATGGGCCCCAAAACCCTATTCTAATTATTAAGGCCTCTATATTATCCTGCAGCGTCGAATCGTGCCAAGACGTCGACATAAGATTATCCCAACTACAAAGGGAGTCTGGAATCCTGGGCCCGTCCGAAAGCTGAAAACCCACCTAAATCCGAAACCCTAAACCCTAAACCCTAAACCCTAAACCCTAAACCCTAAGCCCAGCCCCAAGCCCCAGCCAATGTCCTAGCCGAGACCAGGCATGGCGTACCGGGCCTGGCATGACCTCTCGATGGGCAAAGCTGCCGTGTTTAGACGGGGCTCACCGCTGTCTGAGTGTTGCTATGGCATGGTTGAGTGCTTCGTCAGGGTTTGTTGGAATTGGGTCTGCTCTAAGCCCTAAGCTTTGCCCTCGAGTTGATGGGTGTATTAGGGTGCAGGGTATAGGGTTTAGGGTTTAGGGTAGTACCTACTGTATTCAGCAAGCATAAGTTCTTGTCCCTAAACCCCACACTCAAGCCCGAAACCCTACACCCCAGACCTTTCACAACCCTAAGCCCTGAACCCAGCTCCACATCTTACGACCCAGAACAGTGTCATTTTTCGGAGAACTTGTTAAGCTTTGGATCCCCGAATGGGGAATGAAGTAACCGGAGAAACGCAGGGTACGACAATGCAGGATCTAGGTAAGACGATGTACCACGCTTTAAGCCTCTGCCCTAAGAAAGCAGTTGCCGAACTGAATACTCGACCGAACCTTAAATACCCCAGCCGAGAATTTTAGCTCCGAAGCCAGAATCCATACGGGTTTGGGGTTTAGGGTTTAGGGTTTAGGATTTAGAAACCTTCAACAGCCCCTAAACCCTAAACCCTAAACCCTAAACCCAGCTGGTGTATGTCTCCAGAAATCCCGTGCCTAGACTCCTGAGCCTGGAAAAGCCTGTGCCCAAACTCGTAGAGGCTGGAACAACCTATGCTTACAGTAGAAGCCCAAAAGTTGGAAGCCCAATAGTCTCAGTCCTTAAGAGTAATGTATCAGGAATCCCAGCACTGATTGTCCTTAATCCGGTTTCCACCTTTTTGGGGTTTACTACAGATTCCGGCCACTTAAAAGATCCCTTATAGAAGCCTCTTTGAAGAAGACCCTAGAGGTAAACCCTAGACTCTAAACCCTCAAGCCCGAAAGGCCCTATACTGTAGGCGTCTCAATACTTAGATTTCTTTTTCGGAGGGGTTATTTTTTAAGTTATAGTATGCTATACACCCAAACCCTGTTCTAATTTGTAAGGCCCCTATGTTAGAACTCCTTTCGAAGCCTTGAAGATCCACCCTAAACCGGGAAGCCCTAAGCCCTAAGCCCTAAGCCCTAAACCCTAAACCCTAAACCCTAACCTAAATCCTAAACCCTAAACCCTAAACCCTAAAAGCCCTAAACCCTAAGCCCTAAAGGATGCTGAACCCCCACAGACGAATAGCACCCTTGTTGAAGCCTTGCCCAAAGCGTCCAAAGGACATATAGAGTAGATTGCTGTAAGGCTTCTATACATACATATATATATATATATATATATATGGAATTACTATTCTGACTCATTTAGGGAAATATCTCCCATAACAGTACATACTGTTGATGGACAACATTCTGCATGATCCAAATATAGTATAGTACCATACATCCCATGGTTTAGGTATATAAGGTCATGCAGGATTTTGTCCATCAGCCGTAGGACCCGTTGGGTGGGTGCCAGGCGAGAGAGCGCGAGAAGAAGCGGAGCGGGAGCGCCTGGTGGCGCTGGAGGAGACCGGATCGCCGGGCTTTAGGGTTTAGGGTTTAGGGTTTCTGTGGGGGTTCCTTGACTATAGAGGGTTTAGGCTTTATGTTTTAGGGTTTAGGGTTTCTGTGGGTTTCTTTTAAAAGGGATCTATAGGGGTTCCTCGGTTTAGGGTTTAGGGTTCAGGGTTTCTGTGGGTTTCTTTTAAAAGGGATTTATAAGGGTTCCTTTAAAGGGATCTATAGGGGTTCCTTTAAAGGTATCTACAGGGGTTCCTTCAGAGAGATCTGTGGGGTTCTTGTGAAGGGCTCTTTAGGGATTCCTTTGAAGGGGTTTAGGGCTTGGGGGCGCTAGGGCTTGGGGTTTTAGAGGGTTGGGGTTTTGGGTTTGGGGTTTGTTAGGGTAGACTCGGTATCGACAATCAGTGTAAAGATGGTCCGTCGCGTCGCCATGCTAATGCTGGCTAATTCGTGGTTTGTACACTGAATCTTCTGGCTATGTATCCATGTGTCGCTCTCGCGAAGATTGTCTGCTGACTGCTGGGATACATCCCCAATTAAACCCTTGAACTTAAACCCCCCAACCCTGAAACTTGAAGCCCAAATCCTTCAACCCAAGCTCGACCCCCCTAGTAGGCAACCTCATGCCCAACACTCATTCTACACACTTTCGGGGTCCAGGTAAAGGCCAAGCCCCTAAATCCCATCTTCCTATGCCCGGTCCTACACCCTAAGGCCACAAACCTCCAGACAATCCTACAAATACAACAACCCCATAAAACCCTACACCCTAAATCCTAACCCTACACCCTAAATCCTAACCCTACACCCTACACCCTGAGCCCTAAACCCTGAAACATGAACTCACACCCGCAAAAGAGAACCGCCAAAGGTTGCCCCTTGTACGTACATTGACCCTTCGGTTTCGGGTATGCGCGGAGGAGATGGAGCTGCAACGTGAGCAAGAAGAAAACAGACGAGCCTCGAATAGCATCGCAAGCTCGGGGTTTGGGGTTTAGGGGCTTTAGCAGATTTTGGGGCGTTATTAGGGAAGTTTATGGGGCTCTTACGTCTGGGTTTTACAGGGGCTGTTAGATTCTTTGGCTTACTTGAAGAGTCATATGACAGTCGTATTAGGTTGTTAGTCTACCCTGGTTGGATCAACTTCGGATCCTCGACAACCTGTCTGCACTTCTTGACCCGGTCCTCGTGCGGCTGCAGCCGTGGAATTTGAATCTTTCCGCCGACGGCACGTACCGCCTTGTGCGGGGCGTGTATGCACTCCTGACAATCGGCATCAATGAAAAGTAACGGTCCGCTGGGACGGATGCAATCTTCACGTCTTCCGGCCTCCTGTCGGCTCGCTGCCTCTGCTCTTCACCTGGGCAACGAAGACCACTAGTACTAGAAGACTGACCCCGACCCCTATGATTCGAACGACTGGATAAACAACCATACAGTATACTTGGACACGTGCCATCACACAACAAGACCGAACACGGTCTTGCATACGAGAGCCTTTGAGACTGGCTCTTCGCAGCAGCACGACAACTCATCCCGCCGTGGTTCCATTTCTTGCTTACACCTAAACCCTAAACCCTAAATCCGAGACCCCAGACCCTAAACCTAAGCCCTAAGCATCTCTAGACCCTGCACCCAAAACCCTGGCTCAGCCCTAAACCCTTGAACCCCGAGTCTTCAAACGCTTAGGGCTTGGGGTTTAGGGTTTAGGGTTGAAGCCACGCCGATTTAAGGGGTAGCGAACCTTAAAGGGAATGTCTTTGCCCTGAAGCTCAGTGCCCTATCTGAACCTCAAGAGGCCGACCTTTTCAAGTAAGCATGTGAAAAGGAAATCTAAGTCTCTCAGTGGTCCCTGTTTCCCTTTTTGAAGTCTTAGGTCCCTTTTACAGGTGCCCAATACCAAAAAGGGAGCCCTTCGTAATCCTAGACTACTGGGCATCCTAAACAGCCCCAAATTGCTTGATGTTTAGGATCCTGGTCCTCAGACAATCATGGTCCTCGCACGGAAGCTTAAGTTCAACAGAACAGGTTTCAGCATAACACACATATGAACAACATCAGTAGCAACAGCAGTCGTCGTCGGTGGTGGTGGTAGTGGTAGTAGTAGAAGTAGAAGTAGAAGTAGAAGTAGTAGTAGTAGTCGTCGTCGTCGTCGTCGTCGTAGTAGTAGTAGTAGTAGTAGTCGTCGTAGTGGTAGCAGTAGTAGTAGTAGTAGTAGTAGTAGTAGTAGTAGTAGTAGTAGTAGCAGCAGCAGTGGTAGCAGTAGCAGTAGCAGTAGCAGTAGCAGTAGCACTAGCACTAGCACTAGCACTAGCACTAGCACCTAGCACTAGCACTAGCACTAGCACTAGCACTAGCACTAGCACTAGCACTAGCACTAGCACTACCAGT